CTGATCCTTACGTTTAGACCCTCAGCCACTATCTAATGCGTTTCTGATGAGCCCAAAGCGGTAAATATTTGATGCACATCTCCGAGAGATTCGGGAGTAAAAAGTTGTAAGTAGGGGCAGCGAATGCAATTGCGGAAAAACTATACTCGTCTTTACCTCCAGGACTTCTGTTGCAACTCAAGAACAGGAGGAGACGGACCCCTTCTACGGAGAGGAACTTTAAATGATAAATAATTCGTACACTCTCGTGAAATGTAAGCAGGCCTAATCTATCTAATGCCGTGGTCTTATCGTTTCATAGGCCGCACATGAAGTCGGTCAGCTGCTCTAGACGAGGGTGTAGTAGTCTGTACAATTTTCGCACAGTGCACACTACAGCCTAAAGTGCTTCCTCGAGGGATTGTGCACATATCCAGCTGATTTTTCGTTTCTGTCCATGACCGTCTTTGCATGGTTAATCAGAAGTAGTCTGAGCAACTTCTTGCAAATTAAACCAACCAAGCGCTTTGAGTGACTGTTGTCAGTGCCTCCTGGGCAACGTAGGATTGGCGCGTCTTCAAGATAGGGTGCAATGAGTAGTTGCAGAACTTCGCGCACATTTCTACGCGGAGGTGCATAACAGCCTTAAAAGAAAAAGCAACAATGTTGTCCAGAAGTACGAAGAACCTAGGATTTGGATAATGAAGTCTGCGTTTATGCTGGCCTTGCAATAAGACGAACAGAGGATCACCTCTGTTACTCGTAGTCAACAGCATAACACAGAAGTCGCGCCCAAACTCACTAATGAGTTTCACCAGATAGCCACCGACGTACACCAGACCAGATTATGTCACGGATGGAGATGAAGCGCAAGGCGCAAGGACCTTATGTAATGCCCCTGACGGGGCCTTTAAGGGATAATAAATGAAATGAAAGGCTCTTTCAGTTTTTTCAGGTCAGTGGTAACCGAGTCGGGCACAGCCACTGCCAACTGCTCAGAATCAGTGTCTGACATCTGTATTTGCTTAGAAGGGGACTTTTCTTTAGACCATGACCGCGCTTTCCGAACAACGGCGTGCGAGGGGTCAGAGAAGTACAGAAGTACCGTCCATGTCTTAGGGAACGCAGTTTGCTGACGACACTGCCTGTCGGTAGAGTGACTTAAATCGAAGCGAAGTTCAATAAACCGTTTCCAAAACAACAACCTTTGAAGCTCGAACACCAGCGCAAAGCAGCTCAAAGGGACTCTCTGAGTGGGGTGAAGTGGGGTGAGGTGGTTGCGCCACTGGCGGCAAGCAAGTGAACTACATACGGAGAAAAAATGCCCTTGACTCCCGGGCGATTGCAAAGGCTGTAAGAAGAGAAAGAGAGCGCGCGCTTCCAGTCCGGCCGTGCTCTAACAATGCCTGGAGCTCAGCACGCGTTTTCGTCCTTTAAAACCCCAGCGCGGCGGTATGATCAACGCTGGCGGCATAAGATAGGCACCAGGCCACGTGGCCGCTTCTGGCTCCGAGTTGAGGGGATGAACGATGCTCATATTTCTCTAACTGTTTGGCGACTGCCATTGCCAAGACAAATAAGCAAAGCCAAGTTCAATCAGTTATTAGCGTTAGGGAGTGATCCTGAGTAGTATTTAGCAATGTATAGAAATATTTTTATGGCTCATATAAGCAAAATACAGAGGGGGTCGAAACTTTGGCAATATCTTGAGAACAACGCTCGTGTGAGATTTGACCGCGACTGCCAACCTTCGGCTGTTCCTCTGAGTTCGCTAAAATATCTTATTTTTTTAGGTATTCCTTCCGTGCACACGTGTAGTTCTATGTAACGTCATATTAATAAGTCGCATTTAGTCATTTCAGAACTTCTATTCTCAAGGACATTTCTCGGATGCAGTTCAGCAACAACCAAAAAATGTTTCGGTGCCTCAATAATGTAAAATTGGTCTTGCAACATTTTTTTCTTGTACTTTCAATAAATAGTGTTAAGAAATAACCCCTGACGTTGATAGCTTGCGGAAACATCCATTAGTTTTCCCTGAATAACAGATGCAGAAAAATAAAGGACAGAGGCAGCTGTCGATACCTCCTCAACTCGCAATTTGAACAAGCGGCCACGTGATCTGACGCTAATTATGTACCACCAGTGTTTGTCACAGTCATGCCCTCGGCGGCTAGGGTTTGGAAAGCAAAAGCATGGGCAGAGCTTCAGATATTGTTACAGTTGGGCTATTAATTATCCTATTTAATTGACATGAGCCGTTACCGGAATGTATGGCAATGCTGATTGTCATGAACCCGAGCATTCGACTCGAGGTTATGAAAATCGCCTACGTCACGCTGTCACGTGACTCTCGGTGCGAAATCGTGATGTCATGTTACGTCATGCTGTCAACAATGACTTCCTCAAATTAAATCGATTTGATGCAGTGAGTAACGTGACGTTACGAGGCCACGTGACATTACTTGACAACATGTATTGACAGCATGACGTCACGTGACAACGTGACACTTGGTTAATCATAGTGCCAATACAAAGGTGCCACGAAAACCCACTATTTACCACACGTTGCAATTCTGTATATGACGATTTGATCAATAGATAGAAATACAGCCGCCAATTTTTTATTCCCATATGTTCATTTTGTGATACTAACAAAAAATAAATAAATTACCTCGAACCGTTTTGAAGCGGTTACCGTTATATTTTTTTTCGGTTTGGTTCCGGTTCAGTTTCAAGATGGCGTCGAAGATTTCGGTTCGGTTCAGTTCCGGTTCGGCTAAAAATAACGGTTCTGTTCCGGTTTTCGGTTCGGTTCGGTTCCGGTTCGACACCCTGGTCTAAAGTAATATTTAAGCAGGTACTAGATAATTACATTAAACTAAGTATCCAAATAACCCTGCACAGACAGCAAAACAAAAATCGGGAGGAGAGCGAATTGAAACATCCGACTTCATATCACATTCCAAAAATGTCAGCAAAAGCCCAAAAGTTTGCAATACTACCGACTTGTAGTCAGCGGCCTTAATTTTTAGGTTTCGTCGCCAGTTGAGAACTAGGTCGTCCTCAAAACGTCCCCGGACAAGGTCCGGCGACCCAAATTTCAAATGATGAATGAATGCCTGAAAACAGTCGAACTATGCCCACTTCGAGAGAGACTTTCTCCAAGATCAGTAATTTTAGGATTTTTCGCACCAGCAGCTTGTAGACAAAAGCACTAAAATGTCTATTTCGTCACCAGTTAAGAACTCGGCCCACTTAAAAACGCTCCTGAATGAGGCGCGTGTGCCCGAATTTTAAAAGTTGAGGGAACACGTGAAAACGGCCGAACCATTCCCAATTTGAGGCCGATTTTCTCAAAAAGGACTTGTTTGTACGTATTTTGCATTGTACCGGGACGTGCTCGAGGACTTCACAGTTTATATTCCGCCTTTACTGGCGGACTGATTTGTCCTCAAAAAGTTCCCTACAAAACGCAAATGCCCAACTGAAAAAAAAGAAAGTTAACGAATGCGCAAAAACATCCGAATCATCCTCATTCTGTGACCGGTTTTCTAAACAAGGACTTGTTTTGCAGTATTTGCCATAGTATCTGAATGTGGTCGAGGGCTCTACATATTATATTCCGCCCTTAGTTCGGGACTAGGTTGTCCTGAAAAAGTTCCCTAGCAAGGCACGGTGCACAAATTTCAAAAGATGAACAAATGTGTAAAAAGAGCCGAACCATTCCCACTTTAAGACCGATTTTCTCAAAAAAAGATTCGTTTTTGAGTCTTTGCCATAGTACCAGGGTGGGCTCAAGGGCTCTGCATTTTATATTCCGCCTTTAATTGGGGAGTGGGTTGTTTTCAAAACGTTCCCTCGCGAGGTGTGGGTGTCCGAATTTCAAGAGATAATCGAATGCGCATAAACGGCCGAACCACTTTGAAACGACGCTACTCGGAGTGCGTTGGTTTTTGATGATGTGGCATGATGGACACGGATGAGAAAGCTATCATCCGCGTTCTTGCACTGCCAGCCTTGCGCCCGTTCAACGAGCAACTTTTACGGAGCACCGGGTTGCCGATGTGCGGCGATTCTTTCTAAATGTTACTGATTTTGTGGTTTTTGTTGATGCTCGGCAATCTTATAATCTGAACTATGTTTATGTTTACTAACTGAAAATTATTCGACAACTTTTAATTAATTTAAGCTATCGTGACGACGAGCCACCTATATAATGCCCCCCCCCCCCCCCCCCCCCCCGGGCCGTAAAACGTACGTGGTTGTACTGCATTAGGGCAGCCTTAACGGATTTTTAAAAACGACGTGAAAAGCCTAAAATAAAGACCCTTTATACACGATATAAATATAATTGATTCAATAGTGCAGCGCATTCGAACGAGGTGTAAATGCCTCATAAGCGATAGTCCCTATACTTTGTGCAGTCGACGTATCCGACCTAATGGGACCAACCAAGCAGCGTGGAAAGCGAAAGTCACCGACCCTTTTCTGTTTAAGATTGGTTCACCTATAATAGAACACGTACAAAAACATGACGCACGCCATGATGGTGCGCTTTTGAGAAGTAACAGAGCATAGACCAGTGTTTATGTAAATTAAGACATTTAGGTGCCTAGAACATTACCCTGGGTGACTTTTGTTGAACTATGCGCTCGCGAGGGGCACGAACTCCCACTGGCTGGAGTAAGCGATACCATTTGTCCATAATGACAACTAATTGAATTATCGTCGAAAATCGCGCCCTGAGCCTCGGTACATGATATTTTGCATCGAAATTCACCGGCATAAGAAACATATCCAAAGTATGGCGATTTGGTCAGGTATGAAAATATGCTGCCGCTAATCATTTCACCCTGCTTCGATCCACCTTGCTACTTTCGAAAATGCGATTCCAGAAGTCGGGTGATGATTGCACCTTACCTTTCTGAAGATGCGGATCAATTTTGTGTGTATCCGCTACCGGGCTTAGTGTGAGGGGTGACCATGACGAAGTCCATTGCAGCAAATTATCCCACGCGAACGGTGCATAAATTGACTTTATTAGAAATCTACAAATAAGTCCGGCAATATGTCAACACGCAGAACAGTATAACTAGTAGAAAAACTCCGAACCGTTTGAGCAAAGTTCACAGTGAGTCTTGGCGAAAGTATGCCCCTGCGACGTCCCTCTGACTACCGCAGCATGGGTTCGATTCCTCATGCGCATAACCCAAAATATACTCTTTCTTCGTAGTTCCACCAACATGTCACTTAATTGAGCGGCTCGGACAAACACGTACGAAGGTTCAATCAAACGGAACACACCTTTTGCGTCATTGCACGTATTTCATTTTTTTTGCGAACGCATGCGCATGTTGCGATATAAGATAAACACACGCTTCTGTAAGAAAACATTGAGTGTATTGCGCGGTGTTTTGGAATAAAATATATCAGCGCTAAATCTTTATAGAGCACTTAATATTCTGGCTATCCAGTCGACGTTGATAACAAGGATGCGCTTGAAATTGTATGTGACGATGTGATTGTGTACCATAGAAATGAATAAGAGCTAATAAACATTGACCCTGAATGCTGAGCATCATCAACGGTCCCCTAAGAGGTTGATAAAATGGTAGGAGGAAACGATATTCACGGAGAAATATTACCGGAGTAATATTCAAGCTAGTCGTTTTCTAAAACGAAGCTTTTTATACGTATAATTGCACGATGGCCCGTGATATAGGAATATACAAATCTGAGACTGCGCGTGCAAACTCCGGATTTGTGATGTGCGCCTTCGAATGTCGAAATCGAAATCTCGCGGAATCGAAATATTTTTCCTCGGGACTAACCAGCGCTGGCCTCATCGGCAGCTTTCCTACCGAACACTAACGCTACCTTGCGATAGTTTTTTTTTATTCTTTTTTTTTATTGTTTTACTTAAGACAGCACCAATGTTGTTGGGCGTTCAAGTGGGGACCCATCTTTGGCTGTATTTCGAGCGACATCATTGTACAGGCGTGGCTTGCTTTCGTACATCACACCGGTCTTGTTACGAACCACCTGGTGGCTGACTAGATCGTTTTCTTACTGAATCTTAGAGACTAAGCAGTACTGAATCCCAAAGACCGCATAAGAATGTAAAAAAAAAAAAAAAACTGTGGCGCTTTTTTTTAATGTCGTTAAACCTCCTAACTCCTCTCAGATATTTGTACGATGCTGAATACCTGCGCGTATACATTACAAGCCTGCACACCGAAGGCGAAGTTAGTTTAATCTGTTTTAAATAAATATATTTAAAAAAATCAATCTATCCTGCTCCCCCACTGTAGTGTCGCACGTAAATGCGGCTGCGTGGTGCAGTTATTTCTTTTTAACATTAAAGGGCAAGCCTTTTTTAAATAAAATTTACAACTAAAAACCACAACTTTTAAGGGCCAACAAGGAGTTAGGCCTCTTTTGTGTGTGTCGATGTAAAAAAAAAAAGAAAACGTCTGGCGAGCGTTCAGAATGTTTAAAAAAGCAACAAGAAGTGAACAGAGTAAATTAAACAGTTTTGACTTCACTCGTTTCCTGTTTTAAAAATAAAAAAAAACGCTCCAATAAACCAGAAGAATACGTGTTTTTTCATTTAATTGACTACGTTTAAACTTGGTACTGAACCATAGCAAGACCTGTGTTTTAGTTGTAACTTTTGATTAAGGTAAACGTTTACTTCGATGTTTTCAGGTAATAAATGCACCACCTGATCAGAGGTTGTGGCGCTAGAGCTCGCAACGTTGAATTTGGAAGCTTATTTAGTGTAGATTAGGTTCATTAGTCCCTCCTTGTAAAACGTGCCCAGTGTCCACCAGGATACCTGGAAGGCGTCCCCTAGAGAATTGGTAACGCTACGGATCCTCGCGATCCTGGCAGTGGAGCAGCTGAGATGGATACGGTAGACGCAGTCGGCACGGGGTATAGCTCGCTGCGTAGCCATCCGTTGGGAAATCTTATATCTGGGGCATATCTGGCAATGCCATATCAAACATTATATGATTATTTACAGCCTATTACAGCCTTATCTAGCGTATACACAGCCTTATCTAGCGAATATAAAGTTTTATCTGGAATATATACAGCCTAATCTGGCGTATATACAGCCTTATCTGGCATATATACAGCCTTATCTGGCGCCCGGTGTTTAATATATAAACAAGTTTACAGCACAGGTAAAAAAAGTGCTTTGTTGGAAAACTGTAAATGACTCATTGTTCGTGAGCTAAATATTAGCACAAATAATCCCAAACTTCAGCTTTGACAAGCTTAAGTTTGGGAATATTCGTGCTAAATTTCCCGAGAATTTCAACGTAGCTTAATTATTTATAATTGTTAACGTGAAGTCCGAATAGACCATTTGCTAAACCCCCAACCGCCCCGGCCCGTACTTGAGGAATCATGGGAACGATGTTCCTTCAGCTTCCTATAGTGATCGGTAGCTTCGCCCAATTCCATGGTTACACATTCTGAGTGTAATTCAGTCACCCTGAACAAGCGTCCTATAGAACCCAAGGACCTGTCATATCAGTTTTAAAATTTCTTATCAATCTCAGCGTTTCAATACTGTGCATGCTGTCCGCCCTTCAAGCTGGATGAGCTGCCCAGACATCTCTTACATTAATATTATTCTCGTACAGCTTCAAAGACGCTGATATAATGTTAGAAACACTAAAAATGCTATAAACAGCCCCACTGATTCCGAGCTAAATCCTAGGTTTGGTTGTTGTGATTTCTAGGCTTTTTAATCAATTCATATGCTAAAACAGCAATCACGAAAATGAAAATATTGTAAGAGATTTCTGCGGCTCAGTCAGGTTAAAAGGTTGATCGCATGCATAGTGTCATAAACGCTGACATTGACGAGAGATTTTAAAAGTGATATGACAAGTCTTTGGGCTCTGTAGGACGCTTGTTCAAGGTGACTCTGAATTAAACTCAAAACTGTATAACCATGGGATTTGTCGAAATGGCCGATCACTGGGCAGCTAACGGACCACCGTTCCCATGATTCCTCGAGTGCGGATCCGGGCACTTGAAGGAAACCTAGAGTGCCTTCATGTGCGCTTCGCATAGAGTGATGCCAACTGCCTGTTTCCCTTTCCCACACCCTCTTCCACCGCCATTTTGTTCCCCTCATTGTTCCCCGTGTGCCGGAAAGTGGCCTTTGTGTCCATCGGTAATCCCATCCGAGGGGGAAAATGCTAATCCTCCCTCCGGGGGTTCCACAACGCTGCTCCGAACTTCTGAGATAAGGTGCTTGTTTCCGGGAGGGTTATAAGCCCCACGGATTATCGCCGAGGAACAAAATGGCTGCTGGTTTGTCGGCGAGTGGTATTACAAAGGGTGGCATCACCCTAGCAAAGCGCACATGAAGGCTCCCTAAGGAAACCCATTTTGAAAGAATTGTAGATAATAAAAAGATATAATTCCAGGCTTGTGTGCTTCTTTTGATATGTTTGGCCAGATCTGGAATTTACATACTTAGCCAGATCTGGGATTTCGATACCTAGCCAGGGATTTCAGACCATATCTGGCGCTATGAGGCTATATCTGGCAGATATACCATACCAGGTTATATCTGGCCAATTTTTGATATGTGCCATATCTGAAAACATCAGATCTGGCCAGATATAAATTTTCTGTAAAGGCACCGACACCCGAGTCCGCTCTTAGCCGTCACTTCCAACCGCCGGATCCTTCGAAGCATTTGATTGCCATGTGGGGTACACTTGGACACCCGGGAGGGTTAAGAACACCAAACATATCAGGTGGAGACGCGTTCCAGGCAATGTAACGTACACTGTCCTTTTCGGCCTCGAGTTCGCCGAGCTTCTACGAAATAAAACGTAGGCAAAAACAAAGCGGCACCAGAGTTAGCGGGGATTCGCAGAGCACCGAAATGCCCGAGTGGCGTCATCCGGCGCCGAAAGCGTCGGTACTGAAGTAGCGAAGATCCCGTGACGCGAAGCTCCTTAGTGTAATGCTTCACGCTTTCACATTTGTCTCGTCAAGAGTTTGTGCTCAAGATTATGAAGATGTGAACGACGTCAGCCCATCCGCAACATTAAAAGCAGTCTCCTAAGACGACGAGAGATGACGCTTTACATTGTACTTAACACTGACGATGTTCATGAAAAGCCCGCCGATATACGAATCTTCGCCACTCGGTAGATGCAACACTCATCCACGTGGCCGTGAGCACCGGAACAACGAGCGACATTTCTGCGGCACTTCGGAACACAATCGGTGGCTCTGTGTAGGGCACGGGGTTTTGTGCTTGCGGGCGGGCACGTGGCGCGGTCGTCCGGCACTCGAGTTGGGAGTCTTGAGCACCCGATGGCACCGGCGGCGCAATGGCGTGTGCGGTCAGGATGCGTCTTCACGACGACGTCAGGACGTACCAGTAGATGCAGTTGAAGATGATGAAGGCCAGGGGGAAGAGGTAGCGCGAGTGGCGGTCGATGCCGTTGGCGATGTCCCGCGGCGTGAGCGGCGTGACCAGCGTGCACACGTACGGCTCGTCGCCCCCGGTGAAGGAACGCAGAGAGATGGGCGACCTCGGCGGCGAGTCCGGCAGGTCGGACAGCGTGTGGGCCTCGAGGTCGGAGATCTTGAACACGGGCGTCAGCTTGTGGTTCTTCTTGTACTTGCTGATCTGCACCGTGCACTGGCTCTTGTGGGTCGGGCTCGACGGCGTGCTGGTCTGGCCCTGCTGCAAGGGGGGGGAGCAAGAATGGAACGTTTACTCACGAGGCGGGGGAGGGCTGACGCGTAACCTCCCTTCAAACATTAGTACGTGATAGGGTGAAAACAGCTAGCGACTATTTCGACGTCTGTCGATGAAATAATTTTAAATGGGAGAGTTAATTTGCATTCAACCAAATTTGTTCACAAAAAGGGAGGTGGAAAGGAGGGGGTAAGATGTTCTTAAAAATACATGTAGCAGCTCAATTACAGTGATGAACAAAACTCCCCTCAACAATATTAAAACTTCGAATGTATGAAGTATGAAAAAAAAAAGTCAATTGCCACGTGCTGAAGTACGTAAAGAACTCAGTTTGTTATTTTTTCGTAACTTTGGTCGATTTTTACAAACTGTTCACTTCATTAATTTAGCTAATATTGTATAAGATTCCAAGAATTATCACAAACCAGTCCTATAAGATTTTTTTAGCCTTTATTATATTTCTTTTTCAAATACGCAGACGTGCTGAGCAATGCTTCAGTAATTCATATTGAGGTTCAAAAATGAACCCATTAAAGCTATGAAATAGAACAACTATCGGCGCGTCGATATGAACACTGTCTATCTGATGGTATGCATTGGTCAACGTTACTAAAACACTCAGTTGGAAAACTGCCATCGAGACTTATATGAAAAAGTGGCCCCGATCTGTCCTCGAGAACCGAGCTAATGACGAACACAACGCCGCCACTTCTCCCGCAGCGGCCACTCGAGGAACTTTACATTACTTCTATTTTGGCTTTAAGCGGCCATTTTGGAGCCGAGCGGAAGAGGTTACAGAGGTGCCACCCCCGTCTCCCCAGCGGACGCGCCGCGAATATCTACCGAAGTTAAAATGCACCTAGGTCGGGACGCGCTACCTGAAAGGACCGGTGAGGCATGGTTGTATAAAAACAATATTAATTGTGCCGCAAAACCTTGCAAACCAAAAATTATAAAAACACCACGTGTCCTTGATTTTGTACTAAACTCCAATAAATTGCATACAAAAAGAGTCTTTTCCGTTTGTTTTTACGCAAAAACTTGACCCTTAAAAGCTCAAGGTGACCACAGTACAGACAAATGATAAAGAGTGGCGCTGTTGTCGTATTTAGCTCGGTCTCGGTGGACGCCAGCGGCCCAAGTTTCGACGGTGAGTTTCCCAACTGAGTGTTCTAGTAACGTTGGCATTGGTCTTGTTGGTACTAATATTTATGAAAAACAATATAGTCTTACTACAAACTTGCTAGGAACTCAACATTTTGAACTTTAACGCTAATATTCTTACAAAAATAATTTTAATTTTTTTTGGTTTTTAATTGATCAGAATGTTGAGACGCACATAATATAAATATTGAGTAACCTTTTTTAGTTTGGAGAAATTTATACGAACTAACTTACTCAATACCTTTTAAAACAACTTTTTAGGTTATTTGATGCCTATTCTAGAACAAGAAAAAAAAAACCTTTGAAGCTTTTGTAGTGCTCTCATAAAGCTGAGCATCCCCGTTATAAATATTGGTGGAAGTCTATTTATTGAATTTCTGGACAGCCCTTAAAACTAGCCAAATATTGACTTGGCTCTCAATTTTCAGCTAAAGAGTGCTGACTCCACGGCAACGTTATTAATAAACAGAAAAATAACAAAACTTGCAAAAAAACAAAAAGAAAACAAAAAACATTGTCTTCTTGTAAGGTATTGTTGTAACTTTCCCACAATTCGAGGAATAGCCCCCCAAACATCACCTCGGGCTAGAATGAAGCGCTTTCGGTCCACTCTGGTCGCCTCTAATCACAAGCCGTGGCAAACCAGGCTTCATATATCTGACTCTGGCAGGATTTTAGTTTCTTTATTATCACATTCGCTGAAGTAACGCGTGACAACGAGAAACCTAGAATATAGACTAAACGTTAATGAATCAGCGATTCAGTAGGTAAGCACGCGTACCGTTTTCGTGCAAATTCTGCGCGTTGGATTTGGCGTTGAGTGTGAGCTTGTATGAACGAGGCTGTATCCGTATAAGAGCCCGGTTGCTGAGACAAGTTACAGGAAGGACAGTTGTGTATTTTATGCCACGCCTGATCATTCATGAAGGAAGGCGTCCCAAGCTATCTTGTCGATTGCCGAATCATACCATGGCCGTGTTCCATAATTTACTTGATCTCACTCTAAAGTAAAGGTTCTGTACCTTCGCGTTCGAAAACCTACCCGCGTCCAGCGTTGCCCTATCTGTCACGTGACAAAATCCGCCGGAGTAACTCGGATCCATTCGAATAAGATTTGGGACACAGCCCATATTAGGCCACGCCATTGGTTTTCTTAAGCCGTCGGTGACAACAAAAACACAATTATTGCACTTTAGTACTTGTATGAGTATTTCAAAAATCTTTGTTTCCTGAAATGTACTGCTGGATAGAACTGTCTGTTGATAACTGTCCTGACTAATCCGCCTGGTTTCCTAGAAAATTCGTTCGATCGTGGAGTACGTTCAACGAGGGACGAATAACCAATAAACGGCAAGAACGAATGAGTTTGCCGGTCTTACCTCGAGTGCCGCAAGTATGTTGAGGTAGGAGCTGCTGTTCTTCAGGCTGTTTGCGGAGGAGCCCATGGACGCCTGGCTGTCGATCCGTCGGATGCCGCCCTGGCGTCGCCTGTTGTCCTTGTGGTAAATGTAGTTCACCATCGCGTATTCCAGCAGGATGAAGAACACGAAAGCTGCGCAAAGGAAACGATATTGAATAGCATCCATAATAACATCCTTAACATAAACAACGACAGGGAATTGTTCAATCGTCATTTATATCCTCATTTTTCGAAAACTGGCGCCACCTCTCAGAAAAAAGGGAAGCCATGAGCACCATTAGGAAGGAGAAGGGAAAAACCAAAATGAAGCCGCAGTGAAAGCGACGTTTGTGTTGGTCCTTCGAGATCACTGCAACTCTACTACGGTGACCTCTACGGACCCTATATTGGATCGATGTAGCTTTCTTGCTCTAGAGGTGAGCGCGCTCGCTTGAGCCCGCGCTCGCATCTTTCCGTACAAAAAACTTCGTGACCCGGTTGTTCCCCAAAATGCTTTCTTCAATTCAGTAATTATTTAGTGAAGTAAAAAATGTGGTCCCGGATTGTTTACTTCAAATAAAAAATTACACAGGATGTACGATATATGTTCTACAATGAAGTTACGAGTATTAAAGTTCGACGTACAATCATAAAAGGGAAATCTAAAAAAAAAACAAAAAAAACTGAAAACCTTAATCTAGGGCTATCCACAATACTTCGTTAAATCAGAATTACGCAGCTGGCATAATGAAAAGAGTTCTACATATTCATGCACTCGGAACCGACCACTGCTCTTTATTTGCCCATTCTAGCCAGCGTGAGAAACGAGCTGTGACTGCACAAGGATTAGTCACTCAAACGCGGTGAACTCAGATTTCGTTAGGCGGCTCTAGAGCGTTCTTAAAGCCGCGCTCACCACTGCTAAGATTACATCATACAAAAGAGCGTCCGCGCAGACACTGTCTGGGGCGACCTTCTTTCTTTAGACACGTTCGAAATATAGATATGTTTGAAGCAAAGAGGCAATACTTGAGGTGCGTTTGTAGGTACTTCTGCCATCATGTCTTCAGCGAACAACATGTCTTTTTTCTGATGCCTGAGCAGTGTGATCACCAGGCGCGGAGGGGTAGGGAGGGCGCGTACCGGTGCAGGCGAGGTACCAGACATCGAGAGCGTGGACGTAGGGAACCTTGGGCAGCTTCTCGCGGATGGACTTTCCTCCGGTGACGAGGGTGAGGAAGGTGGTCATGGCCAGGGTGACCCTGGCCGGGGCGGCCGGGATGTCTATCCACAGCGAGAACCATGACGTGATGACGAACGTGATGCCCGGGATGTAGATCTCCAGCAGGAAGGGTCCGAAGTCCCGCTTCAGGTTGAACTCGCACATGATCATTGAGAAGTTGCCTGCGCCCCCGAAGAGTGCGTGGCGCCACAGCCGTCAGGGCGCGTGGCTGTGCTCCCCGTCCCGTCCACGCGGACAAAACATTTACGTTGGAGCATCACCGACTGTGTTGCAATCGCTCGGGAATGCTTGCAACTAGTGCCGACAAATTGTGAAGATATTCGTGGATAAGAGAAACTTTGAAAGAAACACCAGGGAAGCGTATACAAGCCAAAACGATATTTCTCCAAGACACTTCGTTCGAAGAGACATGAAGAAACGCACTCTGAAAAGGCCAAGCCTATTAGTGACTTTATTGTTTATCTTAGGGAATCAACAAGGAGAGACAGGCCTTCAGCGACACCCTTGCAACATATAACCATATGATTCCGAGCAAAAAAAACAAAAAAACAACGTATGGGTACTTATGTACTCTCAACAGATGCTATGTGACGCAGTATTGGCGGTTTGGTCTGCCATGGACGCTTTGATATACATAATAAGCAATTTTGAGCGGGAATGATTTTTTTTTTAAGGCGCAAGCCCTATATGTTTTATTACCAGAAAAGGCGGCGGCTTTGTTCCCGAAAGATGGTCATACCAATACGTCATCAAGCACGCGCCACTCAAGGCCAAAGCGGACGCGCCTCAGAAATAAAACACAAAGAAAAGCACAGCAACGCAGATGCTTCGTCCCGGAAGCCGTGGAACCGGCGGGGCGCCTCGCCTGCGCAGTGGGGGAACATGATGTCACCGCCGGAGCGCCGTGTACATAAGGAAGACGTGGCGCGCTGCTTGTGGGAATGCGCTGCCGTGTAGGAATGCTTTCACATTCCTACACGTAAGCAGTCTTAAGTTTCTTCGGCGTGTTTCTTTTTTTATACCCAGGCTGCACATGAACGTTGAACCGACGTCGACTGATCGTCGAAAACGTCATGACGTGCCCGTGGTTAGGCTTCAAAAGTATGTACGTAAATTTTTTTTAGCATGTATGGGAAGGTTAAATGTCCGCGATAAATGTTGCGAAGAACGTCGAGAAAACGTTCTATGTGATGTTATTTGGGCCTTTCATGCATGTTTCAGTACATCCAAGAAGAAATTAATATGGTTTCGCATCTATCTGGTTCACCAGATGCAGTCCAACGAGACGAATCTATTGGTGTTAGAATTTACTAAATCGGCGCACAAACGACGAAGTTTTCGGCATGTGACGAAAATGTGAAACGATCGGAAATACTCTATAACTGCGGAAGCCGTTTTACCAGAATCTCCACTAAACTTGTTGGGTTTTTATTTTGATGCACGGTTCGTCACATCGGTAATGTGTTATACAAACATTTTGCGGATTCTAGGCTAAATCTGGCTAATTCCATTTTGTGTTACATCCTGATTTCACGAATTTGATTGTCTTTTCGAGACGCAATTCTGGGGGTTCTCACCGGTGTGGTCGTAGTCTTCGACCCCGCTGCTGCAGTTGAAGTCCACCATCTGGAAGCCTTTGATGTCGAACGTGTTGCTGAATTGCAGGGGCTGCTCCTTTTCCCACTGGAGCAGCATGTTCTTGGTGGACAGCATGCCTGTTCGAGATGGCGACGAAGTCCCGAACATCAGGGAAAGCCACCCGCCCCCTTCCACCATGCGATGAAGCACATCGAGCAGCACCAAAGCGGACCGTCATGGCGCTCATCGTCCTTGTACGTCACCGACCAAACCAATCAAGCAAAGCGAGTGTTCTAGAACACTCGCTTTGCTTGATTGGTTTGGTCCTCCTATAAACCCTCAAAGCCTGGCAGATCGCCAAGAGAAGCGGCCGCCGAAATGGAAAAAATGGAGCGGCAGACAACGGATGAGAGGAGAGCCACGTAACTGGCGCCCCGCTGCGGCGAGACGCCGAAACACACTTCTCCCGAGCGAACAAGTGTGTTTCGGGTCCTCGCCGCTGCAAAAGTTGTGCGCTGACGTCCAGGTTCCCCGAGTTATGGCTCTTTGATGCTCTGTGCTACCAGATCGTCGCGCTCCAAATCTGCGACCAGGGATAGGGCTCTGCTGTCGAACTGCCGTGCTTTGTGAGTATGGAGGAGGCTATGGTTCTGCGATCCTATGCTGAGCGGGATTGCTTTCGCAGGGAACAGCGAACCCAAAACAACAAAGAGCGCCGTGACGATGCACTTTTGGGGTTGCTTGACTGGCTCCACGCGTTGGATCGTCGGCTGCGGCGTGACAGAAATAGAGACTGACGGCATCTCGCCGAATGCAGCTCGACCCGAATCATCGGCCTCTCGTCGATCAGTTCCATGGTCACTGGCAGCCAAAGGAACGTGTAGCGAACATCTAATATTATCTAGCCATTGTCGATAAAAATGTCAAAGACTAATAACCCTGCGGTTCCGAAGCGGTTGCCAGTGAGGACGACGCACATCGCGGTCTCGGTTGCGCCCATTTGGCATTGCCCTTCGTGAACATTGGGCCTGATATCGTTCGCTCTTTCCATTGGCTAAACTGGTTAGAAGGAGGTCGACGATTTGGTGTTCACGGTGCTTTGTAAGGCAGCATCAACGGAGGCAGTTGCGAGAGTCTATCAAGAACTAAGTCGAAGTCGACCGGCGAACTCCCGCCTTATTTTTATTGCGACTGAACGAGCGTTAGGAAGTCTTCATTTATTTATGCGTATAAATAGTCGGTACACTTACCTGATCCTCGCAATAAACTAACATATCCGTACGGTGTATAAATTGCACGCTCCTTTGTGCCTTTTTTTAGTGTGTGCTTATTTTACCTTGCTTTACTTACAATCTGTTCCCATCTTTTTTTTTCCCCCCTTTTTGTAGAAATTACGTGTGCAGGTGAGAGATACCGGGAGCCCTCAGTTTCCTTCGTTTCTATCCCCGACGATGGTTCTTCATGACTGCACTTGATTCACACGGCAGATGGACTTACTGCTTTCAATCTTGAGGCTGCATTTCTGCTTGTCTAGGGGATACTTGTGGAATTCCATTTCGCACTTGAGCTTAAGGTGCAACCTGAAAACGATAGATAGTATGCCGGGTTGAGTGCGGTGTCTGGTTTATTTCACGAGCAATATATATAAAAGTTAATAATCCCCGACCGTTCCTCAATACTTACGCCTATCAATGTGGCAGTTTGAATATGGCTCATATCGCCAAAAAATACATATTTTGCCACAAAAAAAAAAAAAAAGTAGCGCAGATCTAAGGGAGTGAACGGAGCGTGGAATACAGGATCCATTTTGAATAAGCTTTTCTATGTCTAGCGCGTTGATCTGCTTCCCATGTCTGCTCAAGCGTCTCGGCGTTCAATGGCAGACATCTTCATGCTCCTGAAACTCGGAAAGCCCAACGGACGCTTGCTTTCAACCGCGATTCAAAAGTTATTCTAGCTTCGGTGGGTGGGAAAGTGCTCTGACGCTCTGCAGGTGCACCCGTCCGGCAACCACGGGCATGCCTCAACAGGGCTGTGCAGGGGTTCGAAAAGGAACCTTCCGGGCAGAACTTGCGTTTCGTTAACCTCCCGGGCGCCAGCTGCCACTCTGAGTCCTCGGGAAGATTCCTTTCCAAGTTCCTCTTGCCAGCCACGTCTGGCTTTTTGCTGCGTCTAGCGAGGCTCGAAGAAGTTCGGTCGCACCACATCCCGCAGACACACTGCTCGCACAAGAGGCACAGTGTCAGCTGGAGACATGGTGGCATCTGGGGATACGTCTCACGCATGTGCAGAGAGTTTTTGTATGACCAATGTGACCATCATACAAGGAAGATACATGCCTTGTCTGCGGACTGTCTTTATAAAGCCGCGGTCAAGCCATCACACAAAAGACAGTCTTCAGAGTGTTTCTTCTTTTTAGGTCGGTCACACTGGTCAGCAAAAAACTGTCTGCAAACATGTTCGAAGCAGACATGAAGCAAACATGCTTAAGATATGCCTGAAGCGTGTCCGCAGATGTCATCATGCCTTCAGCGAACACCGTGTCCCTTGTATGACTGCACTCTACAGTGTGGCTGTTGAGTGGAGCGGAAAACGGCGGCGCCCAGAGGCTCAAACCAGCATCGGTATCTCGAGAATGCCCGGAAGCTGGCGCCAGAGCTCGAGTCGCTCACCTCCTGTTGACGTGCACCTGTCCGTCTGCCAGGATGACGATGAGGACGGAGGCCGGCGTGATGCCCGTCACCGAGTCGAAGTTGCGCATGTTGGTCACCTGGACGCTGGGCAGCCAGATCCGCTCGGCGTGCCAGTGGTCGCCCTGGATCTTGGCTTCCGGGTGCAGGAAGGCCGCGTCGTACCGCAGCCGCTGGTCGAACCAGGTCTGCCGCAGACGCATCTGTGCCGTGTACTCCTGCGCGTGCAGAGGCAAGCCGGGTGAGTCCGCGACGGGGAAAACGCGAGTCACCTCGGGTCACTCGAGAGCCGAGCAGTGACGCTCCTTTTCCCCCAGTTGTGCTAGGACGCCACGGTGGTAACTCGCCCGTTCCGGTCACGTGACATCCGTTTCCCCACCATCGAATCGTGGGTGCTGCCGATCTGTTGTCTAGAACCGCAAAGGTGTACGCTGTTTAGTTTTGGATATCGAGTTAGCTCGGAGGCTCCGGCAATATCGTCTTTCTCTGTCGCGAACTGCGACCGAATGGCTTCGCCTTCTGCGTTTTTCGTTGGGCACGGTGGCTGGAAACTGGCGACCACACGGTGACTGTAGGCAACCAAACTGCTGAAGCGAAAATATCACGAGGCCCCCACTCCTGCGTTAATTTCGAACCTTAACGAACATGGCTGCCGACATCTGCGAGTTCATACCTAGCGTGACTCACCTATTTTTATGAGTACAGGTTGTTTCAGGTTCATGAGATTTTTATAGGAAACTCTAATCCATTAAAGTAGTTTGCAGTAAACAAGTAGGCTTTACGAAGCCTTACGCTGGTGCATGTTTTCGTAGCGGGGCTGGGGTATTCGCGAATCCAACCGTCTATAGGTGGCGCCACTCGTTTTCCAAGATGGCGTTTATAGTGAGGGTTGGAGATGAGCCCTGGGGGTCTAGTCCTGGCTTCACTGATGGACAGAAATTATTCCCGCTTATACGAGGAAGCTGGAGTGTTGTGCGCGTAGGTAACCTCTTTATTCTGAAAACAAAAACGGTGTTTGGCGTAATATTGGCACCGGGAGGAACGTTTTAATTCAGGAACGAAACCGAAACTAGCTTCAATTTCTGATTTAATTTTTCGATATAGTTGTTCATTTCGGTTTCCCTCCTACCTCAGAATGTGCCTCACAGCGTAATTATTATGCTAAAAAAAAATGGTTCGCGGAAACTTTATTTTGTGACATACATGTCCAATCCAGCAACTTAAAAAAAATATTTTGAAGAGTTCACTTTTCCTTTAAAAACACCATCTCCTTACACCTTAAAGGTAACAGAATGTTATATTTGTTAAAAAAAATCAGCGCTAGTATTTGTGTGTTCTTGGATACTTTATTTACTCGAATAATGGTCATCTGAAATAATGACCTGCCGGCCCTTTAATGTTTTTTTTGGGGGGGGGGGGGGGGTATTTAGATGAGGAATTGTTTTAGCATTATTTCCAACACAAAGATAATAAAATCAATCAAAATTTTACAAAATATCGCTACAGGTGATTAGTTTAGAATAGATTCACAAAACGTAGAAATTAAGAAACGTTGTTTTCACTACAAAAGCCCCAAAACAAAATCCGAGTCAACAGAAGTGTGTGCCTTTTTAAGGCAATGCATGACTCAAAGGACGTTATATTACATCAAGTATTTACGTCTATGTCGATAACGATGTTAGAGGTTTCCATGTGCTAAAAAGAAATCAAAATGAGACCTTTCTGTAAAGGCTATTATGGTTAAATGGCGTGTTTTGGGGATTGTGGCGTTTTTTTTTTTGCCCACATTACGGCAATTTATATTAACAATAATGCAATTAAGATATTCATTAAATTGTTTTAATACATAGTTTTCAAACTAATATAATTTGTTGCTTATGATCCAATTTCAAACGCGCGAACAACTATGGCAATCCAAAGTTGGCAAATTATCATCACTGGTGACAATGACAGCATTCTTAATTAACAAGTTATAAAATAAAACAGTCCAAACATTCTAGCTAGTGTGAAAAATTCACGTAAAATGACACCACTAGTGTGTAAAGCATATCGTAATATCAAAGTCGCGACGTTTGGCAATGTAACAGCAAAAAAGTCCACACTCGCCGCCAATCCTTCTGGAACAAATGCCCCGAAATACGGAAAAATTAAGGATTCCGTTGTTGTTGTTGTTGTAATTAAAACAACTACCCAGAACCTTCCTTTTCTTTCATATTTACGTGCCGCCGTTTTGCTAATCTCAGCCTTTCACGCACGAAAAAGCCTCCAGCGTGCACGTCTGCTCGCAGCAGTAGCTTTCGTTTGTTGGCTTTGAAAAACCGGTGAAAGAGTAATGATTTTTTGTATTGCGTATACGAGCGAACGCAAGGACTGCGTGTTTGCGTTAGCGTTGCGTGTTCCATATTGCACGTGCGCGGAGAACCAAAAAGCGATCCTGGATAGGCGCATGGCAACGACGTGCATGTGTAGCGTGGAGCACGCAACTCTAACGCAAGCGCACGGCACTTGCGTTTGCTTCTATATGCAATATTAAAACTCTTTATAGTATAGGTAGAGTCACAGGCCGGCTACAGCACTGATCTCTCCGCAGCACTGATCACGTACGCAATGGAAACAAAAAGGAAAACGAAAATTCTGAAAAGAATTCATTCCCGCATATTGAAGGCGCAGAGGACGCGAGCCCCACCAACGTTAATCCCCACAGAGGAGCTGCATATTCCTTGCGTTGATTTCTTTTTTTTTTCTTTTCTTCTTAGTCCTTCTAGGCGCTTACTTGCGATCACGGAGAAATACTGACCGTCGTTTTATTCGACCGTGGCTCATGTATGATGGAATTCAAAGAGCAGCGCAGCTTTCATTGTTGCGTCTTGCAGACGCTGTAACCACCGCACGACTGCAAAGGGTGGCATGGGCTGGCGCAATGGCAGGCGGTGACAGAACAAATATAGAAAAAAAAAAAGGTTCAGCATCTTCCAATGCATGTTGTGGCGACTGGGAGCTTAACGGCTGGAAGCTGCGAAATTCCCTTTTGTTTCGCGCAGGAAGTGCACAGGTGGCCGCTGATTAACGTAGGGTTAACCGGTTTGAACCGGTTCGCTCTTGGCGAAACCGCTAACAGAACCGATATTTTGAATGTATCACTGAACTGAAAGAAAAAAAAAATGCGAAGCTACTGAAGCCGAGCCCTGATAATAACCGTTTCGACAGCTTTGTTTATCTGCATCCTGGCAACGGGAGGCGCTACCGTTTCGCTTTATGTGAACCCGCACCTTCTGTGCCAAAGGTGCCTTGTCTTGGCAGTTGGCTCAGATGTCAGCGCCCATGGTCGGTGCTCTTACCCCGTAGAAAACAAGGCGCGCGACTTGAGCCTTCCCCGAAATGTGCCGCCTAGCTGACGTCATCATCGCGTTTTGAAGCGTCTTGCAACGAGTGCGACGCTATCACATGGCGTCGCGAAGGCGGACGCTTCTGCCGTTTTGAGGCGACTCTCGCCGAGCTATGTTTGCCGCTTGGGGCAGATCTGGATTCCACATACGATGACGTCATCCGCAGGCCTTGTCTTTTAGGTGGTATCGCCCTGACGCAGCCTCGGCGCTCTCAGAGCCCGGGATTCGGCATAGGACAATGAGGCAAACGCTCCATCTGTTTTCTCGCCTCTCGGTGACATTATGAATCGATTATAAAGGGGAAAAGTTGACCAAATAACTAATTGCACTTGTAATTCAAATTTGGCAGTTTCGAGACGAAAGGTGATTAATTAAGAGCTAAATAAAGTTAATTAAGGTAAATAATTAAGAGCTAAAACAATAGCAGGAATCGAGGCAGCCATGAATGATCAGACAGCAAGGTATGAGGAATTGATTGTTCATTTGGAGAACCAAGACAAAACAAAAAATGAACTACAGCGGAAAATCTTTCAACTAGATTGAAGGATTTCACAAAGGGGTGAAGAGGTTGGCGAGCTAAGAAAGGCTATCGACAATGCAGAGCTGTACTCTCGACGCCACAATATTGAAATCCATTATATGGTCCAACAACCAAATGAAGACATAATGAGCGTAATTAACAGAGTGGCAACGAAGCTGGACCTAGCTCCAGTGTCTCCGAATGACATCGAGGCTGCCCGCAGGCTAAAAGCTAAAGAAGGAAGAATCACACCTATCTTGGTGAGATTCACCGACAGGCGTACAAGGGATTTGTGGGTGAGAAAAAGAACTACTCTTAGAAATAAGAACAGTTATATAAATGAAAACTTGACTCGAGCGCTGAAAAGTTTGTTGTGGTTCACCAAGGCACGTGCGAAGGAAAAAGGGTACATGTATACTTGGATGAAGACCGGAAAAGTATTCGTAAGGCAGAAGGAGGGAGCAACTGTGCTTCAGATTGAGAGCGAACGGGACTTAATCAAAACCAGGTAATAATGGAATCGCCTTTTGAATCGTTCCGTGAGTGGGACGCATATACAGAAAGTCCTAGGGCAGAAGTAAGTAACACTGACACTAAACTAAGCTTAATTCATGTAAATGTTAGGGGTGTTTACAGACATTGGGATCAGTTAATGTTAATTTTAAATACGCGCCTGCCAAGTTTGGATATACTTATCTTGAGTGAGGTCAGTGCTGATGAGGCAGGTTGCACTACATTTTCCTTGCCAGGCTTTCATTTTGTCTGCTTGTGCAGAGAACAAAGAAAAGGTGGCGGATTTATGATGTACATAAATGACATATGCTTGTCAGAAAAAGTAGATGTTACATTTGTACAAGATGAAGTGGGTGCTGCTATTGTTCACAAAATGAATTTTTATTACGTTGTGTGTGCTGTATACAGGCCACCCAGTTCAAGTATACCTACATTTTGTGATGAATTGGAACAATTCTTTCAAAAATTTAATAACACTAAATACCTAGTTCTGACAGGAGACTTCAATATTGATGTTCTGAATAAGAATAAACAAATAAACAGGGAGTACCGCGTTATTTTGATACCCTCGGTTCTTTTGGTCTAGAAAATGTCATTCAAAATTATGCGAGGGAGGAATATTATGGTAATAAAATTACAAAATCATGTATTGACCACATAGTTATAAGAACTAGCAATTTGAAAACACTGTCTGGAGTCATTAAGCAAAAGTTAGCAGACCATTACTGCACTCTCAATATTAGGCAAAAATACTGCTGAAAATGTAGATTCAGAAAATGGGTACAAAGTCATACTAGAT